GCTCGCCTTGCGGACACGCCGTCCCCCATGGCGGACCCCACGCCGCCCAACCCGCCCCCGACCCGCGAGGCGCCCATGGCCCTCCCCCCGCCTCTCCCCAGCACCTCTCCCCAGCACCGCTCCCCAGCACCTCTCCCCAGCACCTCTCCCCAGCGCCTCTCCCCAGCACCTCTCCCCAGCGCCTCTCCCCAGCACCTCTCCCCAGCACCTCTCCCCAGCACCTCTCCCCAGCACCTCTCCCCAGCACCTCTCCCCAGCACCTCTCCCCACAGGCGTCCATCGTCATCTCGCGCGCCAGCTCGCTCCACCCAGCCGGCGGCGCGTCTCTCTCCGCCGCCGCCACGGCCGCCGCCGGCGCGGGCTGCGGCAGCCGCTCCTCCTCTGTCTCGTACGAGCTCGGCGGCCGCGCGGAGCCGCCCGAGCCGCCGCGGCCGCCGCTCGGGCAGCTGCTGCGCGAGCGCGCGTCGCTGCCGAACCTGGCGTCGCTGCAAGGGCACGTGTCGGACCACGCGCCCCTCCGCCATTCGGTCGACCAGCCGGCGGGAGCAGTGTCGTGGGGGTCCGGCCTCCGCCTCGACGCGCTGCTCGCGATGAGCCACGCCGAGTCGGAGCGGCCGCAGACGGCTCTCTTCACCTGCTGCGTCGGCAAGGAGCTCTCGCAGGCGGACGTCGCCCAGACACACCAGCCGAGAGAGAGCCGCCGAGAGAGCCGCCGAGAGAGCCGCCGAGAGAGCCACGCCGAGAGAGCCGCCGAGAGAAGCGCCGAGAGAAGCGCCGAGACAGCCGCCGAGGTGCACGCCGAGAGAAGCGCCGAGAGAAGCGCCGTGGGAGCGGCTTTGGCAGAGAGGCGGGGCGGGAGGAGGCGGGGGAGGCCGCTCGAGGCGGGGGAGAGCCGCCCTCGGAGAGCGAGCGAGGGCAGCCCGGAGGCTGAGAAACAGAAACCGGCCGGCGGCCCTCCCCCTCTCCCCGCAGGCGGAGTACCACCTCAACCCGGACGGCACCGCCGGCCTGCTCGACCTGCTCGCCAACGCCTCCTTTGACGCGCCGTCGACGCTCGACTCGACGCCGAGCAAGCCGCAGCACCCGTCCGTCCTCGAGCGGCTGCCGCACCTGCTGCGCGGCCTCGTCGGCACGCGGCCACTGCTCGCCCCCACCCCCTGCCCCCACCACGGTACCCGAACCCACCCTCCCCTACCCCACGGTACCCGAACCCACCCTCCCCTACCCCACGGTACCCGAACCCACCCTCCCCTACCCCACGGTACCCGAACCCCTCGCCCCTGCGCCGCGAGCCCGCCCCTGCTCAACGAGGCAAGCTGCGAGCAGGCAAGCAGCTCCTCTTCCTGCTCGACTACGACGGCTGCGAGGCCGCCCTCGCCGCCCTAGCAGGGGAGGAGCTGCCCGCCGCCGCCGCCGCCGCCGCCGCCACCGCCGCGTCCGCCGCGGCCAGCCCGACGGGCCCTGCGCCGCCCTCCGCCGCGGCAGTCGCCATCGCGTCCCTCTCGGCGCGGTACCCGGTCGTGGTGGTCCGCCGCTCCGTGACCGGCGCAGAGGCAGAGCCGTCCGCCGTCGCCGAGCCCAACCCGCGCGGCGACATCTCCGGCGTGCAGATCTTCCCCTTCTCGCCCGCGCCGGCGATGCCGCAGGCAGCTCGCGCCACGGCCCTCCGCCGCCCCGCCGTCGGCGGGAGGAGGAGCGGAGCGCCGCACCCGCCACCGGCCCGCGACCGGCTGACCGGCCGGCTGCCCCCTCCCCCAGGTGCCCGCCGTCTCGTCCTGGGACGGGTGGGGCAGCGTCCGCGGCAGCGGCTCATGGGGCGGCCTCGCCGCCGGCTGCAGAGACGGCCCCGCCACGGAGGCGAGGCGGTGGCGTCCGCCCATCGCCACGTCGGCCGCCGCCGCCGCCGCGCAGGCGCCGAGCGGAGAGGAGAGGAGAGGAGAGGAGAGGAGAGGAGAGGAGACTACCTCTCCTCCGAGACTACCTCTCCGAGACTACCTCTCCGAGACCACCTCTCCGAGCTACGCGTATCACACTCTCGGAGAGGTCGTCTCGGAGGTGACGTGGGGTAATCTCGGGTACTCTCGCAGGCGCCCGCGTTTGCGGCGCCGCCGCCGCCGCTGCGGCCGCTGCCGGCGGAGATGATCGAGCATGAGTACGCGTACCGGCCGTCGCTCGAGTCGTGCGCCTCCAAGCTGTCGGAGAAGCTGCAGGGCGCCGGCCTGATGGCGGCCGAGCCGAGCGCCACGTCGGGCGTCTCGCTCAGCGACTCGAACCACTTCTCGCTCTCGGTGCTGCTGCGCGGCGCGTCCGAGGCGGAGGACGCGTCCACGCGCGGGCTGGTGCTCGAGACGGTGGAGAAGGAGTTCCCGATGCTGCGCTGCGTCGAGGAGCGCACCTCGCTCGAGATCCGGCCAAAGCCGCAGTGGAACCGCGCAAAGGCCGTCAAGTGGCTCACCGACACTGTGGTGGACCGCGTGGCGGGCACGCTCGGCGTCAAGGCTGTCGTGCCCGTCTACGTGGGCGACGACACCGCCTTCGGCGCGTCCATCTGCGAGCTCGAGGGCGGCGTGTACGTCCACATCACGGGCGGGCCGTCGTCGCACGACGGCTCCTACTTTCTGCGCGAGGCGTCGCAGGCGGACGAGCTGCTCCGCTTCTTCGTCGAGCAGGCGCACGCGGGCGTGACCGTGCGCGGCGGGAAGCTGCGGCAGGCCGAGCGGCACGCGGACGAGTCGGCCCGGCGCCGCGGCCTGCCCGCGTGGATCGGGTCGGCGCCCGCGCCCGCCGCGCCCGCGATGGGCGGCAGCCGACCCCCGCAGTGGCACCGCGCGGCGAGCAGCGATCGGGTACCGCGGTGAGGTAGCGTGGGTGACGAACTCAGCGAGTCAGCGTCAGCCGTCTGCGGCAAGGACCAAGGTCCGAGGAGCGAGGGTGTGTATGTGGGTGGGACGCGAGCGTACTGGGCGAGCGTACAGGCTACTCGGCGTCCGACACCAACTGTATACACAAACGAACTCTCTGCCGCTTTTTCAACTATCGATGTCCCCGTTGTTGTCATGGGATGCCGACCGCGACAAACACCTCCCGCGCGGTCCCGCGAGCCTGCCGCGAGCCTCAGGGCGAATGGGCACAAGAAAAGAACCGGGCAACGGGGGGGGGGAGGGGGGGGGAACGGGAGAGATACAACAGGGGTCTCTCTCCCATTCAAACTCCCAAACGAACCGTTCGACGCCGCCCCCGGTCATCGCCCCAGGGTACGGTAAAGTCGCCTTACGACGCCGAGACCTCTCCGCTTCCGCTCCTCCGCGACGGCGTTCGCGCAACCCCTCCCGGCGTACGGAGTTTCCCGCGCCTCGCCCTTCCGAGCCGGCGCCTCGCCCTTCCGAGCCGCGCCTCTTTACGCCTCCACCACCATCTATTCCCCGCTCTCCTCGCCGAGTGGCGCCGCCTCGCTGCCCCCCCCTCCCGCGCCTCCGCCGCCGCCCAGTCGATCATCCCAGCGTCTGCACTGGCGTCTGCAGCCGGGAGTTCCGGCCCGTGGCTTATTATCCATGATGCAGAGAGAGAGAGAGAGAGAGAGAGAGAGAGAGAGAGAGAGAGAGAGAGAGAGAGAGAGAGAGAGAGAGAGAGAGAGAGAGAGAGAGAGAGAGATGAAACCTGGTTTGTGGAGCTCCCACACCTGTTCTGACAGAGACCTGGCCGTTCTGACAGCGTTCTGACAGTGTTCTGACAACGTTCTGACAACGTTCTGACAGCGCAAAATCCTCCCCTCTCTTCACAGCTCAGGGGCTCTGACATTCCCAGTTGCCCCGCTCCTTCCCTCTTCCTGTCTTGAAGTCTCCCTCCGAGCCACGGACGGACTCAACACACACAGCAGGTCCTCCCAAGCGCCAAGGCGACACTCTCACGTTGAGGCGTAGGCCTTGTTCTGACACAAACTTGGTCCCCGTTCTGACACAAACTTCAACTTTCAACTTCGAGTCCAAGTTTGCCTGTTCTGACAATCTGTTCTGACAATTTAAAAAGAAATGCGTCAAACGACACCAAGCGGAGCGCAAACAGCTGTAACCGTCGAGCAGGAGCACGCCAAGACCGCCATGCTGGCTCGAGGCAGCAAACGCGCTCTTGGGATGGTCTGCTCCGCAGCCAGGAGCCCCGCGACAGAGCCGAAGAAGCCGCGGCCCGGCAGCAGCAGGCCGAAACGCCGCAGCACAAAGCGCAATGCGCGGGCCCGGCGGTCCAGGTAGACGCGAAGGCTGCATCCAAGACGGCAGCCTCGGGTCACGCGCGACCGAACGTGCCGCTTGCGCCGCCGCCGCGCCGTTCTTTGGCACCACCGCCAAACGGCCCTTGCTCCTCCGCGACACTCGCCGCAGAGACGGCGCTTGTCGCCGCCAAAGCAATAGCAACAGCGGTGGCAGCGAGACTTAACGTCGGCAGTGCGGCCTCGCCGCAGCCTGGCCGGCGCTCGCCTTGCCCAGGCGGCCGAGCAGGCGGTGCCCGCAGCCGAGGCAGATCAGCGGGATGGGCTCGAGCGGGCGCCGCCGCCGCCTGGCGCCGCGCCCGCAAAGGAGCCTGCAAAGGCGGGGGCGATCGGCGAGGCGGTGGCGCTCGCACCAGCCGTCTTGCAGATGTTCACACTTCGCCCACTCTCGGGCAGTGCTGGCAACGTTCTGACAGTACCCTACCCACAAAAGTGTTCTGACAGCGTTCTGACAGCGTTCTGACAGCGTTCTGACAGCGTTCTGACAGTGTTCTGACAGCCGTTCTGACAGCTTTCCGACGGTAATTTACAGTTAAGACTCACCATCTGGTCTGATTTAAGGAGAGCGATCTCAGTGTCGGTTACAGCAGAAAGATTCCTTAATTCTCTCCACTACAAAAAAAGTCCGGTGGGGAACCGACATCATGGCCCCGAGGGAGCAGGACTTTGCGGAGATCAGCAGGAGGATGTACGAAGAGATTAGGAGCAGCAGGGACCCGAGGGACCATGTGGAAGACGGCTAGTGCTAGTCCCCCATCGGGAGGACGACCCCGGCTAGCCGCCGACCACACCCACAAAGAACCCTGCACAAAGATCGCAAGGGCGGGGGCCTGTTCCTTTTTACCCATCTCACAGTAGAGAGGTGTCCGTTTTTATTTATTTATTTATCATGGCCCCGAATGCCGTGTAACAAAGTGCCCGCCGTTCTCCATGGCGCGCGTAGCTATGACAGGGACCGCGGCCGCGGACCCGGTGGCGGACGGGGCTGGCGCGCAAGCGCCGGCCACCGTCGTGCCGCCGGGGATGCGCAGCGGACCCTGGAATAGCTACGATAAGGCGCAACTGGAGGACGCGGTGGGTGTCGCAAGGTTGTTCGGTGCGTCCTGTGTCAGGGTGATAAGGCCTGGCTACGCGACCATCGAGGTCGACCTGAAGCACGAAAAGGCCGCGGGCGACCGCGAGTCGGTGAAGGCGGCGGAGCGCTCGTACATCGAGCGCACCGCGCCGAAGAAGAAGGAGCTCACAGATGAGCAGCTTGCGGCAAAGGCCGCGTCTCGCAAGGCCAAGAAGAACCGGCAGAAGGAGCGCCGGGCGAAGGAGGCTGGCGAGCGCGCGGCCGCGAGCGAGGCCGAGCGCGTGGAGCGCCCGCGCGCGCAGCTACGCGCGAACATCGAGTACGTGATGGACGGGCTACGGTCTGCAGCTGCGCGGGCGCGCAGCCAGGCCGGGTCCAAGACTCGGGTCACATATTCGCTGCCCCCAGAGAGGGACGACGGATATCGGCGCGGCCCTAGCGTGGTGTGCGCCACGGTCCCCCAGGGCACCGTGGCGACGACCGTCGCCTCGGACTGGCTCGCGAACGAGCTGGCCGAGCACGGAGAGATTGATGCGGCATGCCGCGACAAATATGTCATGCACCTGATGACGGCCGCCGGCGCCTCGGCGCCGGCCGACGCCGTGTTCAGGTTCACGGCTGGCGAGGCGATGCAGACCGAGGACGACGAAGGCGTCCGACTAGCTGGCTTCACCCATATCTTACCCTCTGCCCCCCCCTCCTGCTACCCCCCAGGCTAGATGTAGTCACAGATAGCCCCACACAGCCCCTTACCCCTTCACCCTCGCCTCGCTGCTTGGTGTTTCTGAACACGTAGACGACCACGCTGTGGGGGTTGTGTTATAGGAGTAGGAGTGGGGTGCAGGTTGTGCTCACCCACGGCACCGGGCCGGTGCTTGCACTTTGAATGCCGTGGGGCTCCTGCCCGTGTCCGGGCGTGGAGATGCGAGGGTCGCCCCCCCTTGCCCCACCACTTTGTGTGTGTGGAGACGTTTACCTTACCTTACCTTACCTCTCTAGGCGGTAAGGTGTGGGAGCTCCACAAACCAGGTTGAGAGAGAGAGAGAGAGAGAGAGAGAGAGAGAGAGAGAGAGAGAGAGAGAGAGAGAGAGAGAGAGAGAGAGAGAGAGAGAGAGAGAGAGAGAGAGAGAGAGAGAGAGTGTTGTCTGGTGCATCGTTACGATACGCACGCGTTTCTCTACTCCTCCCCCCCCCCCCCCCAGGGGCCCCTCTTTTTTGGTCTCGCGTCTCTTGCATCTTGGCTCTAACGAAAAAGAAATACACCTCTCATACGAGCCCATGACATGCCAGATCGTTGTGACTCCCCTTGTGAATTCTCCTCTCCTCCACGTCGCCCTGCACCCCTAGCTGTGCACATTCTTGCACATTGCAGCGGTCCATCTACAGATGAGATGCCACTTGGGTCTCCTGGGCAGGGCAGCTGGGTAGTTGGAGTCGGCCGTGTGTGACAGGCAGTGAAGGACACACATTGTGTTCTACCGTGCTTGCTAGCATCCGAGCTCACGCGCCCGCCCGACACGCTCGCCGGTGAGCGCCGTCGAGCTCTCACCGCCGGACATGCCGAACTGCTCGGCGTCGTGCCGGATAGCATTGGCCACTTTGCCCGAGAGCCACTGGCGCGCGGAGTGTGTTTCCGCCGCTCCTCCACCTAGCCCCCCCGGCACTGAACCGTCGCCACTGTCACGAATCGCGCGCTCATACGCGTGTACGCGCGCCTGCTGCACGTGTGCCATCGCCTCCGCCCGCTGGAACTCGCGGCTCGCCGTGAAGGATGGCGCTTTCACCGGCTCGCCAACGACCACCATGCCTGAGAGTGTGACCACATCGAGTGCCGCCTCCTCGCCTCGCTCAGCCGCTGTCACGACCGCATCGGGGGCTGCCGCGGCACCGCTCGACGCCCGCTCCGCCGCCGCTGGCGACAGATTGCCCGGCCGCACCCGCACGCTCTCGCCGCCGCCCTCGAGCGCCACCGCGTACCGCCCGCCCTCGAAGCTCTGCGCCACGCCCAGCCGCCCGTTCAGCTCGGGGCGGGCAGAGAGGCCGCCGAGCACGACTCGCTGTCCGAGCAGCGGCGCGTCTTCAGCTGCCGCCTTCGCGCCCGAGGAAGCGCCGCCCGCCCCTGCCCGGCCCTCTGCCACCGCCACTGCCTCCGTCAAGACCTTTACGCACTCGGCGTGGCCCTTCTCCTTGGCCAGCTGCAGCGCCGTCTTGCCTTTCGCACTGCGCGCCGCGGTGTCTGCGCCCGCCCGCAGCAAACGCCGCACGATGGCGGTGCGGTTGAAGAGGGCGGCGGCCATCAGCGCGGTGACGCCGTCGCTACTCTGCAGGTTGATCTCAGCGCCGCGCCGTATCAGCAGCTCGACCACCCGCTCGTGGCCGTTGCTGGCGGCGCTTATCAGCGCGGTGATGCCGATGCTGTCCTGCAGGTTGATCTCCGCGCCGTGCCGGAGCAGCAGCTCGACCACCCGCTCGTGGCCGCAGTTGGCGGCGGTCATCAGCGCGGTGATGCCTTTGCTGCTCTGCAGATTGATCTCCGCGCCGTGCTGCAGCAGCAAATCGACCACCCGCTCGTGGCCGTGACGAGCGGCGCGCATCAGCAGCGTGACGCCGCTCACGCCACCTCTCTCGTACGTCGCGTCGGCCCTCCCGCCACTGTCGAGCCACGCCAGCACCGCCTCCTCCTCGCCACGCTCAGCTGCTGCCACGACCGCATCGGGGGCTGCCGCGGCACCGCTCGACGCCCGCCCCGCCGCCACCGCTGGAGATAGCGCCGTCGCCGTGGGCCGTCCCGCCACGACCGACTCCTTGACGTGCTGTCGGAACGCCTCGACGCACTCGGCGTGGCCCTGCTCCTTGGCCCACTGACGCGCCGTCATGCCGTTCGCACTGCGCGCTGCCGCGTTTGCGCCCGCCCGCAGCAAGCGCTGCACGACGGCGGGGCGGCCTTGGTCGGCGGCGGCCATCAGCGCGGTGAAGCCGTTGCTGCTCTGCAGGTTGACGTCAGCGCCGTGCCGTATCAGCAAATCGACCACCCGCTCGTGGCCGTGACGAGCGGCGCGCATCAGCAGCGTGACGCCGCTCACGCCACCTCTCTCGTACGTCGCGTCGGCCCGCCCGCCGCCCTCAAGCCACGCCAGCAACGCCTCCTCCTCGCCTCGCTCAGCCGCTGCCACGACCGCATCGGAGACTGGCACGCCACCCCTCGACACCGCCGGCGACAGATTGCCCGGCCGCACCCGCACGCTCTCGCCGCCGCCCTCGAGCGCCACCGCGTACCGCCCGCCCTCGAAGCTCCGCGCCACGCCCCGCTGCCCGTTCAGCTCGGGGCGGGAAGAGAGGCCGCCGAGCACGACTCGCTGCCCAAGCAGCGGCGCGTCGGCAGGCGACGTGCCAGGTGCTTCGTAGTGCATTCCCCCTGGCTTTGCAGGCCCCCGCGCGGAGGGGGGGTCGGCCTGCCTCCGTTTTTATCAAACCGGGGGCCTTCCACCCCCCCCCCCCCCCCGTGTGTGTGAGTGTGTGTGTGTAGAGATGCCTTTCGGGGCCCAGAGATAAAACTTCTGATGCCATGCGTGACCTAGTAGTGTCCCCAGCTATGGGCGTGTCCACGTTGGAGCCAGGTGTGGTGTGGACGCGAGAATAGCTCCGCCGTTCATGGAGGCAACCGATGCGAGTCGACTGCAAACAACGCGGCGCGTACCTAACGAAGATGAGCGCACGCAGGCCAGGCTGTCTGCTATAGCCGCAGGCACTCCAACACAGCTGCTCGGTGTGAACAGAGTTCGTACACCGATGCAGCGACAGTCGCTTCAACTTCACCGCCGTGGCGAGCCTGGCGAGGTCATGCTCCTCGCAAACTCTCGGCGGCCTCCCCTGGAGCACCCACCTGGCACTTGGCCGGCGCCCACAGCTGCGATGCGGTCGTGCGCGCGGATGCGAGCGACGTCGAGTTTGAGCGCGACGCATAAGCGCGCATTGGTGAGAGTGTACCTCGAGAGTGGCGAGTGCGGGTGTCGGAGAGTTGCCGTAGTGTTCCTTCACCATAGTACGATCTTAAAAAAGCAGTGGCGCGCGTCCGAGGACACACCTCTTCCTCTCTCCCCCTCTGCGCGTCAGCTCTGCGCATATCGGCAAGCCAAAGTAACGAGCAGGAGGCTGTCCTGGTGCGTGAGCTAATCCTGAGCAACAATAAACGACTGTACCACGGAGCACAGAGCGCAGCAGACAGGACGGCGGCGACGGCGGACATGGCAGAGACGAGTGTGAAACAAAGGGCGGCGGGCATGGAGGGCAGTAGCGACGGGGATGGTGACGGTGACGGTGGCGAGGGAGAGGAAGGGGGTCCATTAGCACCAGACAGCGAGAGGGGCAGGGAGGAAAGGGGGAGAGAGGAAGCCAACGGCGATGCCACCAGCAGCAGGGGACACGATGAACAGGTAGAAAACGGCCAAAACGATGGCGAGGACGAGGAGACACGGGACGACGGCAGGCGAGACGAGGAGGACGGAGGCGAGGGCAGAGACAGCGCCGCAGTCGACGGAGGCGACAACGATGGAGAAGGGGAGGGAACGAAAACACGCACAGAGGATGAGGATATAAACTGGGACGACGCAGCGGAAGGGATAGACGAGGGAATCGAGGGACCGGAGGGCTTTCGCGACAGCGACGATGACGACGAAGGCAGGGGAGGAGACGGAGGGGCGACACGCAGGAGGAGCGAAATCGCGAACGGCCCGAGCAGAGAGGGCGACGGCGGAGCACGAGGGGGCAACGGAAACGCTACCAATGACGCGAACCGAGGCACGGGCGACGACGGGGACGGGGAGGGCGACAGCGATGTCGAGGTTGACGCAACGGTATCGAGAGCGCCACCCAAAAGGGGACGGACAGCCATGGAGGTCACCGAATGGAGGGCGAACGGCACGATACGAAAAGGCAGGGCGAGGCGGATGGAGAAAGAAGTGCCGAGGAGGCCATGGTGGAGGGGAGGGACGGGAGGACGAAAGAAGGGCGAGGAGGACGGGCGGCCCGCACAGGCCGCGAGCAGACAGCGCCTGCTGGCCATCTCGAGAGGCATTCGCAAAGAACGCTAGCTACATGGGAGGGCTTCGTGAAGGATGGATTGAAATACATTCGAACAAAGAAGAGGCGACGGGAGGAACCGGCAGAGGATGCAGTGACGTGACACACACACACACACACACACACACACACACACACACACACACACACACACACACACACACACACACACACACACACACACGTACACACACACACACACACTCACACACACCGCTCACCCACGCGCACCGGGCCTTGCACTTTAAATGCCGTGGGGCTCCTGTCGTTAGACGTGGAGATGCGAGGGTTGCCCCCCCTTGCCCCACCACCTCGTGTGTGTGGAGAAGTTTACCTTACCTTACCTTACCTTACCCCTCGCGCCGGGCCCCGCGCCCTTCGCCTTACCACCCGGCCGGGGCTGGAGAGGCTCAGAAGAGCCTGATGCCGCGCTCCTTGCACACGGCCATCAGCTCAGGCTGCTTGGAGTTCGTGCTGCCCATGTTGTTGTCCACGGCGAGCATCTGCACGCGAGGGGAGGTGCGATGAGCATTGGGCGGGGGAGGGGCGTGTGGCGAGGGGGGGCGTCTCGCGCCTTCAGGCTCGGGGCGGCACCCTCCTTGAGGGCGGCGGCCAGCGCCTTGCAGCCCTCGTCGCCAATCTTGTTGCGCTGGAGAGTGAGCATCTTGAGCCGCGGCGCTGCCCCCTCCTTGCCGAGGGCGGCGGCCAGCGCCTTGCAGCTCTCGTCGCCAATCTTGTTGCTGTCGAGATAGAGCCCCTTGAGCTGCGGCGCTGCCCCCTCCTTGAGGGCGGCGGCCAGCGCCTTGCAACCCTCGTCGCCAATCCTGTTGCCGTCGAGAGAGAGCTTCTCGAGCCGCGGCACTGCCCCCTCCTTGCCGAGGGCGGCGGCCAGCGCCTTGCAGCCCTCGTCGCCAATCTGGTTGAGATTGAGCGTCTCAAGCCCTCGTCGGCGGTTGAGATTGAGCGTCTCGAGCCGCGGCGCTGCCCCGCTCGCGAGGACCTCCGCCAGCTGCGCCGCCTCCGCGCCGCCCCAGCCGAGGCCGCTGTAGTCCAGCTCGGTCTGCATGGGTAGCTTGATGCCGCGCTCCTCGCACACAGCCATCAGCTCAGTGCACTCTGCCGCGCCTTGCTCCTTGAACAGTGCTGCCAGCTCGGCGGGCTGACTATCCACAATGAGCGTCTGCACGCGAGGGGAGGCGCGATGAGCATTGGGCGGGGGAGGGGCGAGTGGCGAGGGGGGCGTCTCGCGCCTTCAAGCTCGGGGCGGCCCCCTCCTTGAGGGCGGCGGCCAGCGCTTTGCAGCCCTCGTCGCCAATCTTGTTGCCTCTGAGATCGAGCTTCTCGAGCCGCGGCGCTGCCCCGCTCGCGAGGACCTCCGCCAGCTGCACCGCCTCCGCGTCGCCCCAGCCGAGGCCGAAGTAGTTCAGCAGGGTCGCCTTGCCAAACTGCTCCTCGAAGGCGGCCTCGTACAGGCGCTTCACGAGCGGCTTGTCGTCCTTGCCGTTGGTGAAGCTCTTCTTCTCCAGCTCCGCCGCGAACGCAGACGGCAGCAGCGGAGGGCGCCGGCCGCCGTCCTGGACGCAGTCGCCGACGAGGCCACGGGAATCGTACTCCACGCCGTCGCGCATCTTGCCGAGGTCGAGCGACAGGTAGGAAGCCTTTGTCGTGCCCGCCCAGCACTGCTCCGTGTAGCACCAGCCGCGGTCAAAGTACTTGGCCACGTTGGTGCCCTCGGCCTGGTCCCCCGCCTCGTGGCCGTCCGGGAAGGAGGTCAGCCGCAGCACGAATGTCTGCGGGTGGGAGTAGAGCGTGCCGAGGCAGCCCAGCCCATGCTTGAAGAGCGCGTTCTGCTCCTCGGTGCGTAGGACGCCGTTGGGGGGGTCGGGGTGCTGGTGCAGCGAGCCGAAGTCCCAAAAGACGCCGAGCCGCGTGATCATGCCGTCATTGTCAGTGAGCAGGGCCTTGAGCGCCCTTGCGACGCGGGCGAGGTTGGCTCCGCGCGGGTCGGGGTGGTCCTTGGTCAGCCACGGGTAGGAGAGCGCGGCGACGGGAAGGCTGCTCACATTCTCGTCGGTCGCCTCGACGAGGTCGGCGAGGGAGAGGAAGGCCTCTTTGGGCAGCGCCTGGCGGTGGGAGAGGACGCCCCCCGCCTCGGCGTGGCTGATGATCCACTGCGCGTCGAGGAGGGCGACGGCGCCGCTCGCGAGGACCGACTCCAGGTCGCCGCCGCCGAACTTGCGCCACAGCATCAGCTTCCTCTCGTCCACGCCAGGAATGCCGGAGGTGGCGGCGGCGCGGGCCAGCCGCGAGGCGGGGGAGCACACGAGAACACCACCGGGACACCCATGACACACTAGAACAAGTATGCCAAGAAGCGGGATGAGACTAGACGTCTCGGACGAGACTCGTCACTCGACGGAAACCTAAGTCGTGAACATCGGGTTGCTGCGCGGCGGGTCAACCCCATTATGCACAGTCATCCAGATGTCAACTGCACCTCAGACAGTCGCCGGCGTGGGCGGGAGGGGCGACTGTATCTGAAGGCGCGGTAGCGGTAGATGCAGCGCTTGTCTGTCGTCCTCCACACCGCCGTGGCGTGGCAGACGGTGAACGAGCTAGCGTGCGGGGAGAGCGGCATTGTGCATGGTGCGGAGTGCATTGCCGTTCTTAACGGAGTCGCTTAGGCGGCTCCGGTGGTGAGCCTGTGTGTGTGCCAGTCCGCGCCAGTCTGCGCCCTTGTCGTGCCAGTGTGCTGTGAGAGAGGCTTGCCGCCAAAGAATTCTTCTTTCGCGCCTCGTTGATTCGGCCACCGCGAGCGAGCGCGCCCCAGCCACGGCAATGTCGTCCGACGAACTCGACGAGAACGTGACCCTCACGCCTATCGTCCTCGGGGTCCTCATAATCGGATTTGTCATCTTTTCCTGCTGCGGCACTTCCACGCCCGGCGGGCGAATGCCAACCATCAGCGAGCGAACGACGCGGGCGCAGATGGCAGCCGAAGAGAAGAACGAGTAACTGGACCTGGCTTAGCAGGGCGAACGGAGGTGCATCCTCGCGGCGCGGCCTGCGCTGGTCATCGTTCGCACCTGCCATATCTTACAGAACACATGAATTGTCGTGGAACTGCTCGCCGATTGTCGGTGAGCGCAGGCTCTGGACTAGCTGGACTGGCGGCGGTAGCTTGTTCGTTCCTCGTGTGTAGCATCGTGCGGTGTGTGCTCGCGCGCGCGCTCACTTGAGCCCGCTGCCCGCTGTAGGGGCGGTGTGTGGCACGCGCCGGCCTAGAAAAACGCTGTATCGGAAGTGGGTCCTCGCGACGCTCGGCGGCCGTGGGGCTCGCGGTCACGGGTCAGTTGTGACTGTGTCAGCTGAGCCTCACCCCGTACCCCCTTTAAACGTCAAGAAGAACGCACTGTCATACGCAGCGCCCAACATAGCTGCGCACGATATAGGGATCTCGCAAATCATTCAAGTGCATGCCGTGCATGTACATGTGGCGGCGCGGGCCGCGCTCTTGCGCCCACGCCGTCGCACTCGACTAGCTGACACCCGTCTTCAGACTCGGTGATCCGGAACGTGGCGCCAGAGAGGCGCTCCGCAAAGTGCACGGCGGTGGGCAAGTGGAGGGAGGAGAGCGTCGCGGCGGGAGGCGCACGAAGCCGCGACGTGCCGCCGGCGAGGGCCATGAACACGATCAGCTGGTCGGCCGTGTGCTCGCAGGCGCACGCGCCGCTCTCGAGCAGTGCGAGCAGCTCTCCGCGCAGCTTGGCGCAGCAGCGGTCGGCGGCGGGTCCGAGGTCGCCGCGGGGGAGAGACTGCACCGAGTTTGCGCTCAACACGCACCCAGAGTCTGTCGTCAGCGCTAGCTGCACCGACGCCTCCACCCGCCCCCGCCCGCCCCTACCGGCCTTGCCACGACCCCCGCCGCCTCCCCTGCCCCTGCCGCTGCCATCCCCGCCATTACCGCCGCCGCTTCCGCCGCCGCCGCTTCCGCCGCCGCCGCTTCCGCCGCCACCGCCGCCGCCGCTTCCGCCGCCGCCGCTTCCGCCGCCCCCGCTTCCGCCGCCACCGCCGCCGCGCCCTCGCGTGGCCTCGGCGCATTCCTCGGCGGCTGGGGGAGGCGCATCGACCTCGACCGCCACCTCGACGCCGCGCAGGGCGGCCGCCGCGGAGAGCGCTCGCTGCAAAGCCTAGTGGAGGGGGGCGTGCTCTTGTTGCGCGACCCGACCCGGAGGGCAAGGGGAAAGGTTCGGGGACCCTCCGATTCGTGATGGGGGGGGGGGGGGGAGTGCTGTGCTGTGCTGTGCTGTGCTGTGCTGTGCTGTGCTGTGCTGTGCTGTGCTGTGCTGTGCTGTTACTGTTACTGTGCTGCTGTGCTGTGCCGTCTTAGTTGTGTTGTGTTGTGCTGTACTGCAGCTCACAACACACGTGCCGTCTCGTGTGAGTGAGGCCCCGTCGTGCCGTCTCGTGTGCTGTGCTGGTGGCGTGTGCTGTACTGCAGCAGTGAGGCCGTCTCGTGTGAGTGAGGCCCCGTCGTGCCGTCTCGTGTGCTGTGCTGGTGGCGTGTGCTGTACTGCAGCAGTGAGGCCGTCTCGTGTGAGTGAGGCCCCGTCGTGCCGTCTCGTGTGCTGTGCAGGTGGCGTGTGCTGTACTGCAGCAGTGAGGCCGTCTCGTGTGAGTGAGGCCTACTGTAGATACAGCTGTGTACTCGTCCGTGCGGGACGTGGCACGGACCGGCGGACTGTGCACTCGGACTGTACATCTAGGCTCCTCCGCCTCTGCAAGCAAGCGGCAGGCGGCCGCGTCGGACGCCGCGACGAGCGCACGAAGGGAGGTTGGCTTGCCTCGCTCTGTCAGGGTGAGCGGGGGGAGCGGTGTCTCGCAGCGGGCCGCCACCGTCACCTGCCAGGGTCAAGGGCGAGATTCGCCGAGATTCGCCGAGATTCGCCGAGATTCTCGCCGAGATTCTCGCCGAGATTCTCGCCGAGATTGTGATGATCCGAGACCGACCAGGGTCGACGGCGGTGGCCCGGCCACTGAGGGCGGCGGTGGGATCGCAGCAGCGGCAGTGCGGCTGTGGCGACGGCGCGGCAGTGCGAGGCTCCCGGCGGACGCCACACCTGACCGAGCGGGCCGCCGTCGTTGAAGCCGCGAGCCGCCACTCGGGTGTCGAGGCAGACGCCCATCCGCGCGAGAAGAGGCGCGAGCACGAGCGCACTGTGCGCGGCGGGCGGCGAGAAGTTGACGTCGGTCCCGCCGCGCAGCAGCAGCTGTCGACCCGGCGCGCAGAAGAGCAGCGGGGGAAGAGCCGCCTGGAGCATGAGCGTCACCGCGCCAGCCGTCTCGGCCGCGGCCTCGAGCGACGGTGGCAGAGGCCGCTCCTCGTGGGCCGCGGCAACCAGTTCAGTGGAGCCCTTGTCGTCTCCCGTCAGCGCGCGCCCGGAGAGAGCGGCAGCGAGGCGTGCGCCGACAAGGTGCTGGTTGGCCAGCCCCGGCTTCGGGCGGCCAGCCCGGATTGAGTGCAGCCGCAGCGGGCGTGACGGCTGGAGAAAGGCGAGTGAGAGAGAGCTGCGGATGACCTGGCCGCCACCTTCGAGCGTCGCGCCGTCAATCTGTAGTGGACCCTCGGTGGCATCTTGCATGATCGAGCGAAGATCGAGCAGCGACATCGAGCAGCATTGGCGAGAACCGGGCGAGTAGAGGCACACGCACGCACTCTCTCCAGGTCTCTTGGAGCGGCGAGCCGCCAACGTCCCTCAGAAAAGAATTTAAAAGCGGGTTTCAAAAAAATTTGTCCAAGTCGTTGGTCGGACTGTGTTTCACCTTCCCATCAATCAATCGCACGACACTGGGTACGGGACTGGCACTGCAAAGGCGACGGCTTAGAAGCCGTCGCCCTCACAGAAAAGAATTTTACAACGCTCCCTCTCACGACACTGGGCACGGGACTGGCGCGCACTGGCACTAACACAGGTACACCACTGGAGCCGCCTAAGCGACTCCCGCGAGGACGGCGAGGCACTTAGCTCCGTGCACTCGACCGCCCTCGCCGCTGGCAAGCTCATTCACAATCTGCTCTGCGATGGCCGTGTGAAGAACGACTGAGATGCGCTGCTTCTGCAGCCCCAGCCAGCTCTTGGTGGTCCAAGTCACCTCATCGAGGTACTGGGCCCGCGTCAGCTTGTTCTGCAGCACGTTCGCCGCCCCCAGAGGATCTCGCCGACCCCCTTCCCAAACCCACCGAACGACTCGAACAGCAGCAGCCGCACGTCGACGTCCTTGTCCTCCCTGGCGTAGCGATACTCAGAAAAGAATGTTTGCGTGTTCGCACTAACATAGAAAAGAATTTGACAAGCTCCTCCAAGTGCTTTACTCCCTCGCACGACACTGGGCACGGGACTGGCGCGCACTGGCACTAACACAGGTACAGCAGAAAAGAATTTTGCACAGGTGGCAGTTGCTGGGGGGGGGTCGGCCATGACTTTAGAAGGGCAGGGGGGGTACCGAGCAATGTGCGGCCGCTCCAACGCCTTGAACGTACTGCTGGAGAACGACATCTCGTCGGACTTCACCTTCGTGCCGCAGCCGAAGTACACGCAAGCGGAGTGGCGCTGCGACGGTGTATCATTCACTTTATGCCACCGTTGCATATCCGGATATGCAACGGTGGCATAAAGTGAATGATACACCGTCGCAAAACTGCATTCCTGGGTCGTGCGGAGATGCATCCGGTTTGGGTACCGGCGGATAGCAGGTGAACGCTAAGGTGGGTTTCGAACCAGTGACAACGCCCGTCTGGGTTTTTTGCGCCGAGTCGAACTGCGGGATTCGAACTCGAGACCCAATGCAGTTTTGCGACGCAGTTTTGCGACGGTGTGTCATTCACTTTATGCCACCGTTGCATATCCGGATATGCAACGGTGGCATAAAGTGAATGATACACCGTCGCAGGCGCGACAACCTGCATCTAGAGGGAGCGGACCGTGAGTTGAGGAAATCCGGGGACGCGACCCACCTCGCCACAGACGGTCCCGCGCCTCGCCGCTATGACCGCTGCACGGCCCGTACCGTCCGCTGTGCAGCGGTCTTTGTCCGGAGTGAAAAGTCCAACGCGCTCGTCGGTGACGGCGTCCCCGGATTTCGCCGCGCTCGGCGAACCTCGACAGCGCTTTCGGTGGCATGCAGCTCTTTGCGCCTGAAGCCTGGAGAGCAGCTCCTCTGCTGCTCACACACTCTGCACAGTTGACACAGCCTACTGTGCGGCTGCCACAGCTGTGACAGCGATGGGCTCGCCCTCACTGGCCCTCAGTCACTTGTGCTGCGGCTTGTGTGAGCGACACTGCTCGGCGACTGCCGGCACACTGTGAGACCGTGGGTGTGAGGTAAAACCACGCTTCCAGCGCTTGGTCACATCGGCCCCGAGGTCAGATCCATCTACTCTGTTGATGACAAGACTTGTCTACTGGCTGGAGCCGAGCAGGAGGGCCCAGCGCACAACCCCTGGTCAACTCAGGGTCCACACCCCGTATCTCAGTGCCAGCGGCGCGTGTGCGCATGCTGCGCGAGGTGAGGGACTTGCTGCGGCTGACACCCGCGGCGTGATCCGTAAGCTGATGCGTCTGACCACTTTGAACACAACGTTATTGCACGGCGCGTGTTGACGGGGAGGTGCCGTGTGCCCGTTGTGGACTCGGTGTACAAATGCACAATTGCATGCTTACATTTAGTCCGGCGGGCCCGGCCACTGGTCCACCAGCGGGAAGCCGCGCCCGTACCCGCCCCACCCCAGCACCCCGTGGACCGGGTTTCCGCTCACGCCGCCTTGCGTGCCCCACATGACCGGGATCGGCCCGACGAAGCTGCCGCCCACACGCGGCACGCGCATCTGCATCGCCACGTGCGCCGTGAACCAGCACTCGGCCCACGCCCGCCCGCCGCACTGCGAGCTGTTGACGAGCGCCAGCACGCGCGCGTCTGAGACCGGGCACGGGAGGCTCCCGGCGTTGAGGAGGAAGATGGCCGCGAGTTTGCGCGGCGCCACGACGAACATGTCGTCCAGGATCGAGGCGGGCGTCCCTGGCCAGTACTCCGCCTCCCTCCTGCTCTGCGCGCAGCCCTGCTGCTCGCTGTCGACGACCGGGTCCGGCCCTGTCGAGAACACGGCTCCCTTGATCGAGTGGGTCTGGTAGCTCCTGTACGAGCGCGGCACGGCGTGGCTGTCAGCGCACCGCCACCGCGAGTACATGACCTTCTCGTCCTGCAGCGACGCGAGCGCCGGGCCGCGTCGGAACGGGTAGTCGGGCCGCATCTTCACGACGAAGCGAAAGGGCGCGCGAGCCCGCGCCTCAATCCGCTGAATCACGGGCGCGCACGCATCCATTTTGCTCCACTGCGCGAAGTATGAGCGCAGGTGCAAGGCCGTCGTTTCCGCCATCGTTGGTCGGCGCCCTCGATAGACCTGTTGCTTCACCAAAGGCATGCTCTCGAGCGTGAAGCGCAGCTCCTGCGACGCCGGCGAGCTGTCGTTGCAGCGTTGCTCCACGAGCTCGTCGGGCGTCGCGAGCGCGCTCACCGCATGCACCTGGGCGGGCGGCAGCCCCCACGTTCCCGCGAGCACCGTCGTCGCATCGGCGAGGATGGGCGAGTCGGAGATGACGATCGCGTGCAGGCCGTGCCAATCTGCGCCGATCATGAGCGATCGAACGAACGTCTTGAGCGTTTCCCAGTGTGGCTCGAGCATCGAGGTGTTCCTCGCAGGCAGGAAGCCCGACACACCACCGCCCTTGCGCTCTGCTGCCACCGGCACTCGCAGCGCTCCCGGCATGCACAACGCGGCGAACGGCGGGTGCTGTAGAGGTGGAGGTCCGGCGCGGACGTTGCGCGGCATTGTTGCTATGACCGACTGTGACGGGCTGGGGGCGACACACAGCTTGGCGGATTTGAGCGCGATAGATCTACCGCTAACACTTTCTCTCTCTACCGTCTATCTAAATACCGTCTAAATACCAGTTCTCCAGCCAGGTCTGGTTGATTCCCGATATCCCGAACCGCGCATTTGGGGGGAGCGCACGAACGCACCTCCGAGCGTACACAACTTGAGTCCCAGCGCCAAGGAACTCCGCGGCACACCCGCCTCGCTCACGTTGTTTTGGATCTGCGAGGCGCGCAGGCAGCGGAGGGCGCGTCAGCAGCGTAAAATGGGATGAGCATGGCACGGGTTTGGTTCGGGCGTCGCGGGAGCGCAGAAGGCATGGAGGCGACCCGCGGCGCCGCGCTCAGCTCCGACCGGCAATCCGATTGTGCCAGATTCGCGGCGCTCGATCCTCGGATCGAGCCGCTCGCGCGGCGGTCGCAGCACGGCGGGCAGCCCGGCACGAGCGCGCTGCAGCGCTTGGGAGATTGGGCGAAGCGGCCGGGCACGCTCGCGCAAACGGCAACACGCGCCGCATCGCGCGGGGCGAGGGGAGGAGGCGAGGAGGGAGGGGCAGGGGCTTTCCTGGGCTGAGTGGAGGGGGGTTCGAGTTTTGGGCTCGATCAAAAAGAGCGCCTTCGGCACTACGAGAACCCCTCTCGAGGTCTCGTGCATTGTCCCGGGGGGGGGGGGGGGGGTCCATCTAACCATATGTTGCGAATTGCGTATCGGCGGCTCAGCGGCGCCGCCTGAGCGCGGGAGGGGGCGGGGAGGGTACCCGCCACCGTCTGGTGGTGCGGGGCGACGGGCCCGGCCCGAGGGAGCCGCGTCGAGGCCGACCTCGGGGCGCGAGAGGCCTCCCACGGCCGAACCGCACGCCCCCCGGAACGCGCGGTTCGCCGTTCGTGGGCCGGCGCGTCGGAGACGCGCGCGACGGCGCCCCGCGCCGCTACCCGCAAGCGCAGCCGCACCCAGGCACCGGGTGCACTCATTAGACAGCTTAATGCACATAAAAATAGTGAACAGCGGCGGAAGCGACACCGAGACCGCGCCTCGGAGGGCGCGGAGACACAATTCGGCCCCGGCCCGCGGTCAGGGGGGCGCGCGCTATTGCGGCGCGGCTGTGCCCTTCTCTAGGGCACACACGCAGTGAACTA